TGTCATCCATCAGTGACTATCTTTCACTATCTAGTGTTTTGAAATGATTCCTCACAGTAAACATAAACAATCTGTAGCGACAATTTTGCACATGACACACCTCAATAATAAAACCAGGAAAAGAGAAAAACTGTTTTGACATGTCCCCCTCTGTCATTTGAATTGTCACATGGATGGCATCAAGAAATTCAGAGCTCCGATTGGTTCTTGGATTGACGCTGTTGTCACACTACAGGAAAGTGTCTGAAATCTTCTGACAGTGCCAGAACTTCATCAGAGGAAAAATCTGATCACAATGGGCACTAAGCGGCTGTCTGTGAGCATGTCACTCCTCTTCTTCTTTGACCTTTGTCCCATATGGTTGCGGGGTCGGCTCTTTTTGGAAGAAGTTCCATATGATAACAACTTTTTTTTTTTTTTACATCTTCCAGCCGGCCTGTCACACTCATACACTACGAACAATTTAGCCTACCCAATTCACCTGTACCGCATGTCTTTGGACTGTGTGGGAAACCGGAGCACCCGGAGGAAACCCACGCGAACGCAGGGAGAACATGCAAACTCCACACAAAAACGCCAACTGAGCCGAGGTTCGAACCAGTGACCCAGCGACCTTCTTGCTGTGAGGCGACAGCACTACCTACTGCGCCACTGTTTCGCCTCTGTGAGCATGTCACTGATCAAAGATTTTAGCCTAGGATTTTAGGAATCTTTTAAGATTTCTCAAACTTGTCTCAGATGACAGAATAATGGCTGAAATGTCGCAGTGTGAGCAGGGCTTTATTTGCTTTTGATCAAGGTTGGAGCTGAACTCTGCAGAAAGGTAAATCTCCAGGAACAGGATTGGACACATCTGCTTAAGAGGAATTGGTTTTTATAGTTATGCATTTGTGTTCTGTGCGTATGCTTTTGCAAAAAGATGTCTCAAGCACTGATACAGCCCACATAGCAAAATTTCTCTGGCCCAGCTCTGGCCCACACAATCAGGTTTTGCTTGGCCCACATGCCGCAGTGAATTACGGTACATGACTGGACCAAATCTGGCTTCCAGACAAGGGCCAAACACGAACCATATCTGGGCCAAGTCTCAGCCAAGTTAATAACTCATAACTGGGCCTGAACTGGGCCAGATAGGTTGGTGTGTCACGATTGCAATGAAATTGATAAACCCATGGAGTGATGCGCTTTAGGCACACTATGCGCACGCTTTTTCTCAAAGTGACCTGATTGGTAGAATTTTTTTTGCTTTACTCAAAAATGATTTTAGTGTATTTTAAATGTGTCAAGTCAAGACTGGCCAAACTCACATGGCCCACTTATCAAAATTTTAAATCTGGGCCAAATACTACGTTTTTCATCTGGCCCAAATCTTGTGTGCCGCCTTAAAAACGGTGTCATCTCTGCCAAACCCGGGCCATGTTTGGCCCACATGCTGTATGCCAGTGCCGGATGAATGTCTGCTGTGCCAGCTTTTTGCCAAATATGGGCCAGAATTCTTTGCTACTAGGGAGTCTTTCCTTTCTTTTGTTGTATTAAGTCTGTTGTCATTAAAAAAATTAAATTTAGTAAATATTTCACCTGTACGTTTGGATCTTCCTCTGGTTTCCATTGACCACTGATAAATAGGGGACTAAGCCGACAGAAAATTAATGATTAAATTAAAATTATCCAGTTAGAAATGCCACAGCAAATGCATTTTAAAGTAACGGAACAATATGGATTTATTATATATTATTTATAAATATATATATATATATATATATATATATATATATATATATATATATATATATATATATATCACTATTTTCATTAATTACACTCTTTTCTAAAAATTATGTTGTAATAAATTAAAGTACATGATGCAGACTTGTTATTCCCTGACAGTTTTAGGAGTTAGTGCCAATGGAGACTTCATTGTGGCTTTACTGACCTCTAGAGGGTGAAAACATGCAGCTGACTCAAAATTGAAGTTTTACCTGTTATTTATCTTTACGTTCTGTCTACTGTGGTGTATATAAGATAATAATTAAAACATAATTAAAAATTAGATTAAAGTGTCTGGAAAACAAAATAAAAGTAATTGTGGAACAGAGTAAGACCTACTGTGTACTGTGATGTTAGTCATTAGCTAAAATACCACCAGGGGAAATTTTTACACCTTCCATTTATTACACATGACTTAATGGGATATTTTATTGTTTTTGCTACGTGGTGTTTTATTAACAAAAATATAGTATGATTTGAAAAACTTAAAACATTAACAATTATCCATTGTAAGGACAGAGTCTTGGACATGAACTTCAAATCACATAGACTCAGATAACAGCAGATTATTGAGGCCTTAATGGAGAACAAAGAGATGTCAAATGCCAAAAACCAGCCAATAAACAAACAGAAGAACACATCATGACAAGACAAAAAACACTGCATTTTGTAAGCCTCTCAAATATTTGAATAATAGTTCCATTCAGAAAGGGCTCATTCCTATGCCCTGATTCCAGTGAGGGTCCCTCAGAATCACATGTGTCAAACACAGACCAGAGCTCTACATGGTTTAGCTTGAACCATAATTGAACACACCGGATCAAGTAATTGTAACATGACAATGTTTAAAGGACAAAAAAAATAACACAACCCAGACATGCATAAAACAATGATAAATCTAATATATACAGAAATAACAAAACTTGTGTGCTTAAAAGATAAGATATTTCAGGGTTGTTCAATTGGCGGCCTGTGGGCCGAACTCAGCCCACGAGGCAATTTGTTCCAGCCCTCCAAACAGTGTGACCAAGACATCAAAAATAAATTTAGTTCAGTCGAAAAACGGCCGCAATAGTTATGCACCTGTGACATGCATCTGTTTAACACAGCATGAGCTGCAGTTGAAAGCTGCGCAGAGCATGAGTCACCATAAGCAACTGGTGCGTGCAACCGAAAACATAGGGATGCAACAATTAGCCGATTTCACTAATACCCGCGCTTTAATTCATCACAGTTAATTACACGTAAAGCCGCATTTCTGTTGCAAGGAACAAAACCAAACTGCTGCAATTAAACAAAGTTTTGCCAAGTTGCCAACTGTGTGCTAGTTTAAAGTTCCAATTAAGTACACCGAGGGTTATACACGCACACCGGATTAACTATAGCAGCGGCCGTTCCCACTACACATCTTTTCCACTTGCAAGTTTGTTGTTTCCAATGTAAGAATATATGACATATATGAATATGCGCGCACAAGCGAAGCAACGCGCTTGCGTCTTTCCAGGCGCACGCAGTAAAAAACATCTCACGGTGAGAGTTGTGCGTGCCTTTCAGTGCAATGTTAACAAACGATATGTTAGACGAGTTATTATTAAAATGATATGCATGAACGCAGATGACAACAACAGTTAATCTAAATAGCTACAGTACTTACCTAATATAAAACGTGATAACCGTGAAATCACCATAATTCTTCAGAATATATATTCATACAACCAAAATCTATAATCGTTGCATCCCTAATTGTTATGCAGCTCAAAAAAATAAAATAGGAATGTGTCTGAATGTAGAAGAAGCCTACTCCAGCAATGCACTGCTTTTTTGTGCTCTGAAATACAACATTTGAATGTTAGTAAAAAAATAAATAAATAAAACATTTTGTACAATGCACTGGTAATATGTCATTTCAAAATACAATACATTAACATTTTAATGTAGAAAATACAATATGGGTGTCTTAAGGAGAAATACAGCATATGGGCTCTTATATGCAGTTGTGTTATCACTAATATAGCAAGTCATATCTCTCCGGCCCTTCGTTCGGGATGCTTTTCATCAACAGGCCCCCATGACAAACTAATAGCCCAGAGATATGTAAATGGCCCACTGATCTATATTATTCTACATTCTATACAGACCAGTGGAATGGCCTCTGAACCAATTTGTTGGGGTCTGTCTACCGTAGTTTATTCTGTCCCATCATGCCTTCATTTTGTCAATTTCTCATTTCTCTTTCAGTTAATGCTGCAAATTAGTGTGCCTCAGGTTTAATCAGTTTAAAGATTTCAGCGCAGGACTTGGAAGAAACTCAGAAACTTCCTCAGAAAGGAAAAAAAAATTTCCTTAGTCCCTTCCTCAACCAAAATTCTTGAGCCCATATTCCCCAAATGAGGCTGGGAGAGATCCCTGAGCTCAGAATATCTTTAAGCCTGGGGCTCCCTCCCATTTCCAAGGTGAGAGGGGAGTTTGAGCTCAGGTAGATCTTCCCCTTCTGAAGTAGCTAATGAACAGATAGTGATTGCTCTTAGGAGATAACTACTGACTTAGAGCATGTCTACGGTGCTGATTTGTATTAGTCAATTAACTAAAGTTCTATGTTTTTGGCCGGGGGGAGGAAACCGGGAAATCCGGGGTAAACCCACGTGACCACGGGGATGGGTTTGCATCCATTGACTTGAAGGATGCCCAGTCCTTCCTCGCTGCAAACAGTATCTCCAGTTTGCAGTTAAGGGTCAGGCATGAAAGTATGAGCCTTTGTACGCTACCTGTGCCCTGTCCCCTCGTTCGTAGGTGGGAACCTCAATTACTCATTAATTTTCTCTTTGACTAATTGAAGTTTCACAAACTAATTTCGAGAGGAGCACGTGATATGATTGACTGCAGCTGGCCACTCATCTACACTCATTAGCTAGCCAATCAGATTGATCCAAACTCACTATAAGTAACCTAGCTAAGAACTACTCCCTTATCTTCGATTCCCGAAGAAACCCCCCATCCACCCCTTCTCCTCCTTTCCTCTTTTGCCGGGGGGAGCTCTCGAGAACACCTGATCTCGTACTCCCCTCACATGCTCTATGGACCTGGCGGGAGCCCTGGGCTCAACTATCTCCGAGCTCAGGGTTCTCTCCCGGGACAGCATGCCAAACCTGCTAACTTGCTAACAAGTTGTCAAATGGTAGTCCCTTTATTAATCAAGGGTCGCCACAGCGAAATGAATCGCCAACTTATCCAGCACATATTTTATGCAGTGGATGCTCTTTCAGCCGCAACCCAACACTGGGAAACACCCACACACTCTTGCACACACCCACATACAGTACGGCCAATCTAGTTGTAATTTACCTGTACCACATGTGTTTGGACTGTGGGGGAAACTCGAGCCAACACAGGGAGAACATGCAAACTCCACACAGAAATGCCAACTGACCCAGCCGGAGCTCGAACCAGTGAGCTTCTTGCTCTGAGGCAATTGTGCTACCCACTGGGCCACCATGTTGCTCTTTTCCTCAATTATCTCAATGCTTAATTGTGACTATGACACCCATATGTTGCTATGCATTCAGTCCCTAGTTGGACTTTGCCTTTCTAATTTACAGAATATCCTTACAACAAGTGCCCTGGCATGTTTTTGTGTCAACAGATGTATGGGCTAGGGCACCGTATGCAATACGCATGCAACTTTGTGTTCGTTACTGCACCCAACTGCATTGAAATATAAATAGCTGGGAGCTGTTGGCTGTGTTTCTGACTTTGCACCAACTTTGGCCACTTTTTTGCAAGGGTGTTGCTCAAGATGGACAACATGTCTTTGTTAGCATACATCAACCACTCGGGTGGTGTATGTTAATGTTGCATTTCACTACTGCCTTAGCATCTGCTCCTATGGAGTCACACACATCTCACAATGCTACATTATATTCACAAGCTCCTTGCTCAGGACTTCGCCTTGAAAGGGAAGTCTATCTGCTGAGTAGTGCTCCTCTTAATTAAAAGACCACATAACTTCCCCAATTAGTGTTTTGTTCCCTCAAGATAAGTTAGAGCAGAACCATGATGAAGTAGATAGTTGATGACCGTATACTAAGGATGCATGACCTGATCCTCTGGTTCCTGGGTGGTGCCACAAGGTTAATTTTACACTGTTCACCTATCATGCCCTATTAGGACCTACATAGTCTTGTGGGGTCTTTAAACCCGGAAACACTGTAAATTTCCAAATTGAGCTGCTAAAATCAGGTGCCTTCCATCATTGCTCTGCTCAGTGTCCTCACAGGTCTGCAGAAGATCCTCAGGAGAGCTGCTTCTCAGAAGACCGAAGTGTCTGTTTGAGCATGTCTGGATGATCTCCTGCAGGATCTCATTAGGTTCAGTGGACTCTTGTGTGCTGAGCACCATGGTGTGTTGAAAAAGACGCTCAGAGAAAGAGTCCTGCAGCTTCTCCACGCGCTCTTGATCTTCTGCTGAACACTGCTGATGTTGGAGGAGCAGAACCACCACATGAGGTCCTGGATCAGACAGACTCACGCACTCTCTGACTGTCTGTGTGATCTGATCATCTGAGATGTTTGTGTGGAGCAGCTGAGGACTGTTGATGAGCGTCACGTGTCTGTCCTTCAGTCTTCCTCCCACTCTCTCCACAACACCTGGAGGAGCTTCACTGTCAAACGCTGATCGGCCCAAGATGAAGTTTCCCACTTCGCTGTTTGAAGAACGATCCTCACTGCAAAGAGCGAAATACGTGATTTTATATTGACAGTTGTACACAAACATGCACAAGAAGAAAAAAATAAAATGTAATTTTAATGACAACACAAAAAAAGTAAAACTATGGGAAAGAGATGGCAATTAAAATGTTCATGTTCTTCTTTTTTTAAACAGAATAACCTTCCCAACTTCACCACACACACTTCATAATTCCACGTGTTTGTTCATCTTTATAAAAACTTACTTGAAGGAGGTTCGTTAATGCTCCATTTTCTCCTGGGAGAAAGATTATGTAAAACAGCCACTGTGTGAAACAAAAGACTCTCATCAGGCTTTTCAGTTTGAAAGAATGAAAATAATGATATGCATTTGTTTTTATTGCAAACAATGTCTTTCTTAACAAAAGAGCCGATACAAATTCCAAAAGGTACAGAAGCATTGATAAAGATCAGACCTCTTGTCCAACGTGTATTTCAGGGGGTTTACTTTTTTCTCTCCCTCTATCTCTCTCCATATATGTATATTTTTTTACATTTAAGCTGTTTAAATAATACAATTAATAGTTTATCATTTCATACTTTTATTTTCCAACAAATTCAGTTCTAAAGTTAACAAAATATACAGTTTAATTTTCCATTCAAGTGTTCCATGAATTAACATTAACTGCACAATATTGCAATATAATATAGCAAAGCTCTCCTACATTTTTTAATAATCCATTTTATTTTCCATTGTTGGTATAATATTGCAAAGGATAGATATGACTAGAAATTTAGTTTAACACACTCTCAGAAATAAAGGTATGAGAGCTGTCACTGGGACAGTACCTTTTCAAAAGGTACATATCTGTACCTAAAGAGTTCTTAGTGGTACCTCAAAGGTACATATCAATACCCAAATGCACCTAAAATGTAGCTTTGAGGTACCAATATGCACTCGTAAGGTACACATATGTACCTTTTTAAAAAGTACTTCCCCAGTTACAGCTCTCGTATCCTTATTCTTGAAAGTGCATTATCATACTGATGTTTCTTTTTAGACTTAGTTAACTAGTTTTATCTTTTTATCTAAGGGATATTTAGGCAGTTTTTAATCGGGAATTAGCATAGGTACTGTTCATAATATTTATGTGGATTTAATGGCTGTCTGGGACGGTCGTCAAATGGTTCAGATCTTACCTTGAAGGGAGAGGTTACTATGTCAGTATAGGTGACCATAGGTCAAGGTGGACACCCATGACATGTGGAGTCGTACAAAAAAAAAAAGTCTTCTACCACAGCTATGCTGATGATCTACATAGCCTTACTGTCTAATGACTACAGCCCTATTGAGACCCTCTGCAAATGCGTTGATGACATTAACAGCTGGATGTGCCAAAACTTTCTGCAGTTAAACAAAGAGAAAACTGAAGTCATTGATGAGATGAGGTTCTCAAGGTGAATGCGTACCTTGGCTCTAGGAGTCAAACAACAAAAAATAAGGTCAAGAATCTTGGTGTGACTCTGGAGTCAGATCTGAGTTTCAACAGTCATGTCAAAGCAGTCAGTAAATCAGCACACTATCATCTCAAAAACATAGCAAGTTAGATGCTTTATTTCCATTGAGGACCTAGAGAAACTCGCCTTGTGTGTAGTCATGTGTTATAGTCATCTATGTTGTGTTCACATTTATATAAAGCACCTAGTCTTAATTTAATTAGTAATTAATTTGTCTATATTTTCACCTGTGCTTTCGGAGCTGGTCATGTTGATATTTTTTACCCTCTGGCATCTGTTTAAGGCTTTATTTGATCCATCTTTTCTGACTTCTGACTCCTGTAAAATGTTGTGAAAAACATGCCATTAAATTCACATAAACATTATGAACAGTACTCATGCTAATTCATAGCATGCAGAACTTAAGTAAACAAAACCAAATGAAGAACCCAAATGAAGTAAGCAATGACCCCTATAATGGCCAAGTCGAACTGAAATCTTTTTTAATTAAGCACCAACGGCAAAACCTCTATAATGCTAATAAGAATTGTAGCACACATCTGAAAAAAGTCAAATTGCTAAATTGTTTAACCCTCCGCTGAGATATTGAGGAATTACAGTGTTTTATTTCAGTTAACCTAATGCTTCAAATCTAATCTAACCTGCTTCAAAGGAATGTTTGACCATGTTCTGTTGCTTTTCTTTCATTCTAATTCTTATTGTTAACATTTGCTGCTTACAACACAGTTAATACCCTAGTTATTTAATTATATATTGTCTGTAATCCAAATCTGGGTCATTCAGGGGCGTTTGTTTATATATTTCAAAAGACAGAAGCTGGTTGTGTTGAACAGAACTGGACCAGACATATGACTGGTGTAGGATAAAGATTAGTCATGTCCATTTCTTTAAATACATGAATTAAAATACAATTTGACTTAATTTTTTGTCAGAATACAAGCAAAAAAAATATATAAATGCTTTTGAATTTGGAGATTTTTGACTTTCTGTTACACATGACACCACATGAACATGAACATTTGTTCTGTTTATGTAACACAAATATGTAAAGTATAAAATGAGTTATTTATATGTTCGTTTTTGTAAGCACCACGACATTTAATTGCACTACATAAGAAGTCAACTAGACTAAACTGAACATTTCTTATCAGATGTATCTGCTTTATGCAACACTGAGCACACTGTATTGTACACTATCGCCTGTTTCCTAATGCCATAGTGTATTTTACCTATAATAGTAGTATTTATAGAGAAAAGCGGTACCTGTATTTAGGAGGATTCATCATTTCTTTTCCCGTTTCAAAGTTTCTTTCCTCGTTTTCAGTCAGAAAGCAGGAAGACATTCATGGGCGGAGGAGCGTTAAAAGACAAAAACAAAACTGAACAGGCTGAAACATGTTTAGGCTTTAGTTGCTCTTCAGGTTTTCAGTTGTTTCAGCCCTAGTCATTGCTCCCGTATCCAAATACATAAACTAAAAACAAATAGTAAATGATTATAGTGATTATTTAATATGCTGTGGTAGCACCACAAAAAGCATCTACATTTCTACAGCATTGACGTCTATGTGATATTATGACAGAATTATGAGGTCTCCATAATCCTCAACCAGGCCAAATCCTGAGCAGATGCTGTGTTGGTTATGTAGGAGTGGAGAGCATAATCCTGTGGAACAATCTGACATCTGCCAGGGATTTACTCACACCTGCAGCTTCTCCACGATAGATGTCCAGCATTCTCCAGCCTCCATTGCCTAGACTGCAGCTCTGCAAAGGAAGTTTGACCAGAAGAGAAATGGTCGTGCCCAACTGAGCCTGGTTTCTCTCTAGTTTTTTTTCCTTCACTTTTGTCAATTGGTGAAGTTTGTTCCTTGCTACTGTTGTCACTGGCTTGCTTGTTTTGGGACTTGGAACTATTTTGATTGACGTAAAAGGGATAATTCCCTCTCTCAAGTGTTTTTAAACCTTTATGAGTTTCTTTCTTTGGTTGAACACAAATTAAAAGATGTTGAAGATTGCACTAGTGATGTGTCGTAAACGAATGATTTGTTGATTTTGAATGAATCTTCAACATGACTCGGGAACTACAAGTCATCTCAGGGAGTGATTCGTTCATCCGCGCGTGCGCACATTTGTGCAGGTGGTATCTTCATTACAAGTCTTTTGATTCGTTCATCGCGGAAAGGCAGAAGCCAAACATTTGCGTTTAGAGCCGGAAAAAGAATTGATTCGTTCATCTCTCAAGTCCCCTATCGAGCCTGAGTCATTCGTTCATCATGGGCCAATCATACAGTATGTGTTAAAAGCCGGAAAAAGAATTGAACCGTTCATCTCTCGAGTCCTCGGGTTTGAGTCATTCTGTAACGTGATGAACGAAAGACTCAAGAATTAAAATACTCGAAAGGTGAACTAATTATCATGGCTCCTATTGACTCAGACTGTGTACATTTGGTTAAGATTATGGGCCCTATCATACACACGGCGCAGTGTGGCGCAAGACTCGGCGCAATAGTCTTTTGGTAGTTTCAGCTTGGCGCAAGAGTCGTTTTGAGGCGTTTCGCTACGCTGTTTACATAGCAAATGCACTATCGCTCATTTTTGCGCCCATAGGCGTTCTGGTCTAAAAAGGAAGGCGTTCTGAGGCGCACTGCTGGCGCGTTGCTATTTTGAGAAACTAAAATAGATTTTTCATTAGACCAAAACTAACCCGGTCTAAACTCCAGCACAGAGTTGCGCCTTGATTACACACTGCTTAATACACACAAGAGAGCAATAGGCAAATATCTTTACATATGAAAACATTTAAATATTAAGGATATATATATATAGGATATAATAAGAATAGATATAGAATATAAATATAAAGGATTAAAATATTACAAAACATATTATTTTCTAGCCTACATAAATATGAAAAACCATTGCTTTTATGTCTTCTTCATCTCGGGAGGCTTTTTCAGTTCATTCATAACAATTAGCTTTTGTATAATGTTATTATTATTAGCAGTATTATTTATTATATCCATATTTATATTTGTTTTATTAAAAACAAGCTTAGATTTGTCCACCTGTCAGGTTTTAGACCATATGGGGCACAGCATGTGTTTTAGGATATAACTCAGGTTTTTGAGCACACTTTGTTATTATTGTTCATTTATTCGTTTGCTGGAAATTAGAACTGAATTTAGAAATAGTTTTGAAACAAATATTTGCGCTTAACAAACAAAATTATTTATTTATAGACTAACTGATGTCTGCGCGTAAAGGTTTCCCTATGCAAGAGCGAAAGTGAAAGTGATCCATTATCTCTCATTCTCACGCAGTAGATGCTCTGTTTAACAGTTTTCTATTATAAATCTGTGAACTGTTTGCTTGTGAAATGCTCATTTTTTTTCCACTTAGACTTACTTTGCGTCCTGTAAGTAGCGAATGCGCTCTTGGCGTGACGCAGCTGGCTCTTAAAGGGAATGGGAGATGAGACTGTAATTGGTTTATTCTTAAAACACACCTATAACTCATTAAGAGAATAAACTCAACCCTTTTAGACCATGCGCCGAAGCGCAAGGCAGATTTCCCATCCTTAAATTAGCAAAAACGCGTCCTAACACGCCCTAAAAGCATTTGCGCCCTGTGTTTTGCGCTTTGCGCACGGACCGTCAAAATAGAGCCCTATATGTGACTGTCAGTGTAACGTGATTGAACCACTGACATTAGAAGATATGAAGAGGTGAGCTGAGCAAAGAGACAACAATGCCTTCATAGAAAAAAGAGCAGGTCAACATTGAAATTTTATTTTCTCCTTCTTATAGTATTCTATTTATGACTTATTTGTCATGTGATCAACCTTTTGGGCTAGTTGTAGATGTGTTTGGAAGCAATTCGTAACAATTTAATAATATTTTGGCAAATTGAACCAAATGAACAAAATGACTCGAAAAAAGTTTTGTTCATCTCGATGAACGAGCCTCAAAGATCAGAGTCAGTAAAATAATCCAAACTTCCCATCACTAGAATGCACCCATCAAGCTGGGACCCATCAACTTCCTTAGTTGGAAAACAATTGATACAATATGAAACTCATAAAGGTTTGTATACATCTGACTTGGGATTAAAGATGAAGAAGCACAGCCAAATGAAGTAAACACTGTTAAGATGTTTAGAGGCTAAATAATGGAGGCAAGTTTACAGGCCACATTGCAGGTATGGAGCACTTTTTCTACTTGTAAGCCAGAACTCAACTGAGTTTAGGTTCATGTTTTGTTTTTTACGTAATAAATTAGTTTTTCAGATTTGGAGTTGTAGACTAAACACAAAAATTACATTTGGTTTTGAGTATTTTTTACCCTCATGTGCAATATAATTTTATAACACAGGCTCATTGTGGATACATACCCCCCTCTACAATTCTGAAGATCCCAAATTCTGTACCCAGGACGTCTGGTTGCGTTCCCTCTATTAAAATTAATGCTATGGGGCGGTATGACTGTTGGGACGTGGAGTGGACCGTGATGATAGATTTCGAGTCTGGCAAAGAATGCATTCAGAAACCAGGTAAAACAAAACGCTAAAAAAATTAATTAATAAACAGGCTAAGAACGTTGAAGTATCCAAAAACATGGGAAACAGGCTTTTCTTTTTCTAGATTGCTTTTGAAAACACTATCGGTTGGGTTTAGGGAAGGATGTAGCAGGGCCGGAGTGGGACTCCTTTTTAGCCCTGGAGTTTCAAGCCTCAGACCGGCCCACCTCAGTTCACGACTGACTATATTAAAATAAGGTCATTTCCAATTCAGTTTCTAATTACACTATCACGTCTTTTTTTGAGAAAACAGCTGCTTTAGAACTTCAAATGTTCAACAACCCTAACAGTATTATATGTCTTAACAATAAAAATGAAAATAATAACCTATTCAGACAAGGATCAAACCCGGATCGGCGACGTTGTAATCTAACGTGCTAACCACTGAACCACAACGGGTGAATGGTGAAACGTGACTTTTATCATTATTAACCTGCAGGCTGGTCATATATGAAAAGAGCAGAGCTGCGTTAAAATAATGAATATGAAGACTGTGATCAAGTAAATAAATAAATTAATTAAAAAAGTGTGACTGCTGAGACCAACAGATTCTGGAGCTAGGGACACCGGCCCTCGCGGGCAAAAAACGGACCGGCCCACCGGGAATTCTCCCGGTCCTCCCGATTAGCCAATCCGGGCCTGGGATGTAGGCAGGTCAGCCGATCAGTCTGTCAGCAGCAAGCTGGTCAGCTGAAGTGTGTGTTGTTGCACCCTCTGGTGGATTCAGGTAAGAAAAGGACGCGCAAACAGCATGTGCAAGAGAAGTTTGAGATTATCAAAAAGTGTACACTCTGGTGGATTAGCGAGAACAGAACCTGCAAGCAGATGTAGCTCAGAGTCCATATGGATTAGCCTGGGTTAAATATTTAACTCTAAATATATAAATCCCTTTTTATCTCAAAAATACTCCAATGTGTTCTGTTATGTCCCTCAAGTAAGGCTTAATTATGTTCCTATATTCTTCTTGCATTGACTGCAATTCCATCTGATGTTAGAGATAAACAGACTTGATGCATATTTCAATCTTATCTAAAAACTCACTTTTTAAGGTTTTGTTTGATTGACCATTAATGTTTTGAGTGTCATGCATTATTAAATTGACATTTAACAGGCTCCAATAGTCATAAGGCCACATCTACAAACTGCATTTTGCATTTCAATAAACTCCTGCAAGGATTTACTATAGACACAATAAAACATTGGCACCAAAAAGGAGTAAAGGAAAATTAATGTATTAGATGTATATGAAAAAATGATGCAAGGTGATTTAATCAGATTGGCTGTTGTCAGTTTTAATTGCATTTAAAATATGGTATTAGGATTTTCACAATAATGATTCATGGTGCTTTATTTGTTAAGTCAACATTTTACAACATGTCACATAATTGTAATTATACAGCAATTCAGGAACATTCATTCAGTCATTTTCCTTTTGTTGCCACAGCGGAATGAACCGCCAACTACTCTGGCATACGCTTTACATAGCGGATGCCCATCAGGCTGCAACCCAGTACTAGGAAATCAATTCAGAAATAGTTTTTAAAAAATAGACAAAAATGTCATGTGACAAAAAAATACTCAAGTGTTTCTCCATCTGGTTTTCTATACGCTTATTTCACACGGCTGCCATTTTAAAGAGCCAAATTGAATCTGCGGTGGAAAGAAATCCAGAAGTATAGGACCAGCACTACAAGCCTCCAGCTGTAGCCGAGATTTCAAAATGCAGAAATGGTGTAAACATCACTTTAATATCATTCAGTAAGTTTATTTTAAACAATTAAAAGCAATTTAGCATCAAACAACATCACGATCTCTGTAAGAGTGATATGCTCAAGTGTCCTCCAAGGCTTCAGTTCATGGCACTAGTTAAACACCGTGGGGACGCTTTACTGCTTCAGCCTATGTAACCCGGTGAGCGATAAAATGCTGCAGTCCTCTGTAGCACGGCCTCATATTGTTTGTAATAGTGTTGTCCCGGTACTGAAGTTTTAAAAACATCCATT